ATATATATAGGGCCTTTTATATTTGATAGGACATATGATTTAATCAGCACACAAAAACAATATCTTTCCTGTTTGTCAAGACCAGGGTGGACCCTGCCATTTTTCAGTGTTGATTGATGAACGTCCCTTTCGATAGACTGCAGACAGAAAAACATTTTAGATTAGATAAGTAAGGCTGCACTCAGACGGTTCATGGCATATTGTTGACAGGATTTGTTCAAGGCCACATCTGAAATGACATATTACTGGATGTAGGGTGATGTAATAAAGGCAGAGTGAAAGAAAGATGGTGTTGTTGGTCATTTGTGAGCGATTACTGTTAAACATATACAGTTACAAGAGTTTACGTAGTAATTGTCTTGAAGAATATAAATAATCAAATAAGTAAAATAAATGGGTGTATATTTTTCAAATACAAAGAACTCGTTTCAAGCTACTTCTAATGCTGTTTCTGGAAAAAATGATGAACTCCCGTTATTTTTCATATCTGTGATTAACAGAGTTTAGAGGAGCGCTGCCAGCGGATCCTGCAGGAGATGGAGGGGTCTTTGACAGCTCGGGACCGGGTGGGCATTCAGGACTTTGTTCTTCTGGATGCCTACACCAGTGAGACAGCATTTATGGACAACCTCAGAAAACGGTTTAATGAGAACCTCATATATGTGAGTCCCACACCCACTCATATGACCTCTTAGAATAGACTGTAAAAAAGGCTGGCAGTGCAATATCCAGTATCACTGTTACTTTCATTATTGGGATGGGGGAGAGAATAATGTAGACTCTCATGCTGAACTCCGGTCAGTGCACACAGGTAGACTACTAAGTGAAAATGTTCTCTGTACATCTAATTTACCTTGTCGCAGCGACTGGAAACTCACTTTGCTGATGATTCAGCACAGAGAAATTTTCTGTTAAAGGTTATCAAGGGCACCTTCCAAGGATAAACCTCCTGCGGAGACAGTTTTATTTCCTTATGATCTATCTTTAACCCGTGATGGTTGATATTTTAACTCAGTACTCTGTTGAGGGAAAATACTGGCTTTTAACTTTTTCTGAAAAGTCCTTATCTTTCTTATTTTTATTAGACCTACATTGGGACCCTCCTGGTGTCAGTTAATCCATATAAAGAGTTGGGTATCTATACCAAGAAACAAATGGACATTTACATGGGAGTCAACTTTTTTGAGCTGCCTCCTCATATGTAAGTTTGCATAATATATACACAGGAAATATACAAAAGTCTGGGGTCAGTAAGGTTTTTTTTTTTTAAAGAAATTACTTATATTCAGCAAAGATGCATTAAACCTGTATCTGTATCTATCTGTATTTATGTTCTACTGTTAGTGTTATCTGTATGCACCAAGGGTCTGAGAGTAACGCAATTTCAATTCTCTGTGTGTATGTGCTGTACATGTGGAAGAATTGACAATAAAGCAGACTTGAATTGACTAAATTGATCAAAGCTGACAGTAAAGACATTTAAAAGGTCACAAAAAATTAAATTTCAAATAAATGCTGTTTTCTAAAATAGAATTTAATTTTAATTGTTATAATATTATTTATTTTTTTTCTGTATTTTTCAAATAAATTCAGCCTTTGTGAGCATAAGAGACTTCTTTCCAAAACATTAAAAAATCTTACTGACCCCAGACATTTGAATGGCACTGTATACATAAACATTTACTTTTTATTCTTGGCATTTACATCATTTTTTTCTTATTTATACAGATATGGATAAGAACATGTGGATAAATAGTTTATTTTACATGTAATTTAAGCATTATTTTTCTGACCTCTCAGCTTTGCACTTGCTGACAATGTTTACCGGACAATGATTAGTGAAACCAACAACCACTTCATCCTCATTTCTGGTGAAAGTGGTGCTGGCAAGACGGAGGCCTCTAAGAAAGTCCTGCAGTTCTATGCAGTGTGCTGTCCCAGCACTAGACTCCTGGACAATGTGAGAGATCGGCTCCTTCTTTCCAATCCGGTGCTGGAGGTCAGAATTCAAACCTTTTGTCTGAAATGAGCCATTGAATACATGGGTATACATTCTGAATGCACATTCTCAAAGTGTAGCACAGTATCAAGTAAAAGAATGTTGATGGCGTTAAACGTTTTATATCTACAGGCTTTTGGAAATGCCAAAACCCTGAAAAATGACAACTCGAGTCGATTTGGAAAGTACATGGACATACAGTTTGACCATCAGGTAAAGTCAGATTTGAACAGAAGTAGAAGAGCAGGAAGCATTCATTACAAATGTAAATAAATGCTTTTTCTTTCAGGGAGCAGCAGTTGGTGGCCACGTCTTAAGCTACTTACTGGAGAAGTCAAGGGTGGTCCACCAAAATCATGGAGAAAGGAACTTCCACATCTTTTATCAGTTAGTTGAGGGAGGGGAGGATGAGCTTCTTCGCTGGCTTGGTTTGGAGCGAAACTGTCAGAATTACCGCTTTCTTATTCAGGTGAGAAAAACAGATATTACTTTATATTTTCTGAAATTAAAATGAATGCATAGACATATCAGAGCCATAAAGCATATTCAATTTATTGTTCAAAATCTATTTTCTGGACAGGGAGAATGTGCCAAAGTGAGCTCCATTAATGACAAGAGTGACTGGAAAACAGTACAGAAAGCTCTCACCATCATTGAGTTTAGTGAAAAGGATATAGAGGTAAGATGCTCTCAGATTGATTGGAGTTAGAGCATGTTGATTGGAGTTTTTTCCCACTGGTGTCACTGGGTCAGTGTAGAAGTCTGCTTTTTAGAAAGAAAAGTCATTGTTTAATACGTTTGGTCTTCTTTTAGCATCTGTTTGCCATCCTTGCCAGCGTCCTTCATCTTGGCAATGTTCACTTTGGGGCCAGTGCCCTGGGTTATGCCACATTAAACAGCAGTGCGGAAGTACACTGGCTGTCAAAGGTACTTTCCACTGACACTTCTATCAAGTTTTCGAGTAATTATGCATTAGAAGTTTACATTGTAATGCCAATATTGACCTTATTTAATTAGTTTTTTTGTTGCAACCCATTTCTTCTCTCCTTTCTTAATTCTTGTTCTTGTTAGCTATTGGGCATCCCCTCTAACATGTTACGGGAGGGTTTAACTCACAGGAAGATTGAAGCCAAAGCAGAAGAGGTGAGGCGGGTTTATCGACAGTGGCTTTTTACTTTAGATTTTTTACCTATTCCAAGTAAATACAACATTTAATGTGACCCAAATACTAGTGTGTTTACATTGCTTCTGTTAAAATACACTTGAATAGATACATAAAATTATTGTATGAAACATAAATTGTTGCATAAAAAGCATGTTTTACCTTCATATTGCTATAGAAAGTTGTTTTGGACAATTAGTATTAAATGGTAAATAAATATATGCTTTAAATTTAAAATGACTAAAGAGTTGTTTTAGAGATGGAATACTTTTTTTAGTTTTTTGTTTTTACATTTCCTGTGCTTCAGAAATCCATGCTTATGTAGTATTGATCATTTTCAGGTTCTAAGCCCTTTCACCGCTGAACATGCGAAGTATGCCAGGGACGCACTAGCCAAAGCCATCTATGGCCGCACATTCTCATGGCTTGTTAATAAGATTAATGAATCGTTGGCAAATAAGGTATGCATGGTTGCATGGAATTGACAAAATCTGCTTTTTATGTTGGTTTATAAAAATACATGAATTAGTTGATGGATTATTAGGTTATCAGTCAATTTATCAATGCAGGATTCAACCAGAAAGACGGTGATTGGGCTGCTCGACATCTATGGATTTGAAGTGTTTGATGTGAACAGGTGACCCTGAAGCATTGAAGTCATATTCACTCACTGAATACATTTATTGTAATGTTTTTTTTTTCAAGAAAACTCTTAAAAGGGGTTAATGAGTTAACAAAACCAATTAGTAACCTTTTTTTTTTATCAATGTAGTGTCAGAACAAGCCCTCTAGACACATCTAATAAATAAATGGGTCATCTATTGTTTAAAAGGGGTCAGTAAGGATGCATTAATTTGATTGTAAGTGACAGTAAAGACATGGTGTTCCAAAAAAAATTCTTTCTATTCACCAAAAAAATGTATCGCAGTTTCCACAAAAATATTAAGCAGCACAACTGTTTTCAACATTGATAATAAAAGTAAACCTTTCTTGAGCTTTCTTGATGTCTGAAGGATCATGTGACACTCAAGACAGGAGTGCTGACAATTGGAATAAAAAAATGGAATAAATTACTTTTTAAAATATATTAAAATAGAAGAGAGTCATTACATTATTTCTGTTGCATGTAAATTGTCATATTTGTGCAGTACTAGATAGATATACAGGCCAAAATGTTACATTTTAAAAGACTTTGAGGGACCTGAAGGTATGTTCTGAAGAACAGCGGGTAGTTTAACTGTTCAGGACAAACAGGGGACTCATGAACATCTAACACCAAAAAAAAACAAAAACAAAAAACAGCTGTGGATCATCCAGGTAACAACACAGTATTAAGAATCATGTGGATGTAAACCTTTGAACGGGGTCATTTTTATAAATTCAATTATTTTCTCTTGTGGACTATATGTAAACATCTGTGTGAAATATCTTATTCAGGTCAGTACTAAATAATAAATAACATGCATTTTGTATGATCCCTCCTATTTTGGTAAAATAATTAAGATTTTGCAGATACTGCAAAGTGTATGTAAAATTTTGACCACAACTGTACATTTTGATGGATTGATATGTGTATGATTACTGGTGCTTTGCTCCTCAGTTTTGAACAGTTCTGCATAAACTTCTGCAATGAAAAGCTTCAGCAGCTTTTCATCCAGCTCACCCTCAAATCAGAGCAGGAGGAGTACGAGATGGAGGGAATTGAGGTGAATATTTTCAGTACATACAGCATTTATCAACAAGATGCCCTCACCTTCAGATAGTAATGTTATGTAAATGCTTTGGGACACAGATCTGCCTGGCCTTGTGTTTTAGCATATTTCCATTGATAAACATTTTTTCCATGATGACATTTTTCAGTGGGAGCCAGTGCCATACTTCAACAACAAGATCATCTGTGACCTAGTGGAGGAGAAACATAGAGGCATCATATCAATACTGGTGAGTGGAACTGATTCAAGCTGACATACACATTAAGGCATGATTAAGTCACAGTCTTTATGTCATGTATCCTGCAATTAAAGGATGAAGAATGTTTGCGTCCTGGCGAAGCCACAGATTTTACATTCCTGGAGAAGCTAGAGGAGAAGATGTGCGGTCACCCTCATTTTGTCACGTGGGTAGCTTTTCACTTTGAACTGACTTAATACCAGTATTTCAATGCTATCATAGCACAAGATGATTTTATTGATTTTGTCTGTTGGCTTTAAAACAGGGGTGTCCAATCCTTTTCCTGGAGGACCACCTTCCAGCAGAGTTTAGCTTCAGTACTAATTGAACCAGCTAATCAAGGTCTCCGGGATCACTAGAAACTTCCAAGCCGGTGTGTTGGAGCCAAACTCTGCAGGAAGACAGCCCTTCAGGAGCAGGAATGGACACCCCTGCATTAAAAGAAATCCCTAAAAATAATAATAGATAATTTTGTAGAAACACAAAATGCAGATTGCTTCCAATTATACTGTTATTACAATCTTAGTTGTAAAGTAAGATGCAAACTAAAATTGAAGTGCCGTGGTAAACAAGAACTTGTACTGCTGCGAGGCATTATATTTATTTATTTATCAAATTCACTTTCTCTAAATTTCAGGCACAAATTGGCTGACCAGAAAACACGCAAAACCCTTGAACGAGGGGATTTTCGTCTTCTACACTATGCCGGAGAGGTTACTTACTCAGTTGCTGGTAAGTTATTTAATGCTAACAGTTTAAAGACGAATACGTTTTTTTTTTTTAACACATTTCCTTATCTTGACCTGTATGATTTCCTCATGTCAGGATTTCTTGACAAAAATAATGATCTTCTGTACAGAAACATTAAAGAGGTAAGAGGTTTCACCACAGCATGCATTCTCTCTTGGCCTGTCATCTCTGAAAAAATAATGACTATAAAATAGGCATAAATGCAAAAGTTGTTCGTTATTGTTTAAGGTCATGCGACAGTCGAAGAACAGTATTATACAGCATTGCTTCAATGCTATTGAACCTGATGGCAAGAAAAGACCTGAGACGGTACGGTGAAAGACGTTTCAATAGACAGTTAAAACAAACAATCATAACAGCCTGATCTCTCTCTCTCTATATATAATGTATTTTCAATGTTAATTTTCTGGCTATAAGATAACAAATGTACAGATTTTTTGATTATAGTTTTAGTATAGTATCATTATAGCTGATAACCTATGAGCAACTCCTGTATTTAAGTTATTGCAGCACTTTAAGTCACACAGGAATCATAAAGACATTTTTGACCAGGTTTTTTTTTTTTTGTGTAACAGGTGGCCACCCAGTTTAAGAACAGCCTTGCAGGCCTCACTGAAATCCTCATGACCAAGGAGCCATGGTATGTGCGGTGCCTGAAACCCAACCACTGCAAGCAGCCAGGTGAGCCTTTCACTTCACACCTCAGGTTAGTGGTTTTGTCTGCTGAATGTTTTACAAGACTGTGCCAGTGACCTCTCTCTCACTCACCTAACCTCAGACCGCTTTGATGACGTCATGGTGAGACATCAAGTCAAGTACCTGGGGTTAATGGAGCACCTGAGAGTCAGGCGTGCTGGGTTTGCTTATAGAAGAAGATACGAGGTTTTCCTGAAAAGGTGCGTTTGCGTTATGTATGTTTTCATTATGACTTCATTTGTCTTAATCAGTTTCATGCATTTGCCAGACATTTTCTATCTAAAGTTATACAGTGCATTCAGTTAGTGTTTCTTTGAACTTATCTTCTCTATCAGGCGCTTCTTCTCACTACTTCTCACCTGCAAACATGTGGCAATCCTTGATGCTTTGCAGATATAAGGCTCTTTGTCCTGACACATGGCCACACTGGAAGGGGACACCAGCAGAGGGAGTGCAGCGACTCATCAAACACCTTGGCTACAAACCAGACGAGTACAAGATGGGAAGGTACAAACTGTACAGGCTATTTCTATGATGTGTTGTTCTGCTAGGACCAGAAAATAACGCTTTCCTCCTAGTGTTTCCTGAAGTTTTTTTCCTCTTATTTATCAAGGACAAAAATCTTCATTCGCCATCCCAGGACTCTTTTTGCCACTGAAGATGCATTTGAGATCTGCAAGCATGAATTGGGTAAGGGACCAGTAACATCGGACAAAAGAGGGCTGGCATTCCCCTGAAGGTGTCGTGATGATTCTTGCAGTGCCACCTTTGACCTGATTGGTTGGTGTCTCAAATCGCTTTTGTTACAGCCACAAGAATCCAGGCCAAATACAAAGGCTATAGGGTGAAAGGACAATACCAGAGGCAGAGGGAAGCAGGTATTCATATTTTTTTGGTTAAAAATACTAGAGATACTTAGGAAACCCATACATAATACATCACTCTTAATTCATTTTTAACAGCTACCAAGATTGAGACATGTTGGAGGGGCCTTCAGGCCAGAAAAGAGAGGGAAAGGAGAGCCTGGGCTGTCAAAGTCATCAAGAAGTGAGACAATTATCATGTCGGATGATTTTTTTACTGAATGAAAATTCAGTGTATATATATATATATATATATATATATATATATATGTAATGTAAATGTACACTATCGTTCAGATGTTTGGCATCAGTAAGTACTTTTATTCAGCAAGGATGCATTAATTTGATCAAAAGTGACAGAGAAAAAAAAGGGACATTTATAATATTACAAAAGATTTCCCTTTCAAATAAATGCTTCTTTTTTTCTCTTTCAACATTGATAATAAGAAATGTTTCTTGAACAGCAAATCAGCATATTGTAATGATTTCTGAAGGATCATGTGACACTGAAGACTGGAGTTATGGCTGCTGAAAATTCAGTTGACATCACATAAATAAAATACATTTTTTAAATATATTAAATTAAAAACAGTTATTTTCAATTGTATTAATTTGTATTTTCACAATATTACTGATTTTACTGTATTTTTTGGAGCAGATAAATGCTACAAATTGTATGATATTTGAGTTGTAAGAGATTTTTTTCCCCAATCCTGCAGGTTTATTAAGGGCTTCATGAACAGGAATCAGCCTGTCAGCATGGACAACTCTGAGTATCTGGCCTTTGTCAGACAGAGCTACCTCACTCGACTCAAAGACAATCTGCCAAAATCAGTATTGGACAAAACCACCTGGCTAACTCCTCCACCCATAATGCAAGAGGTAGTCCATACATTATTGGATCCTTTATCATTGAAACCATGCGAAGTTTTGTTTTATAGCCGAAATTAAAATGATTTTTCACTGTAATGATACTATATTTTGTAATAAATGATTTTATAGGCTTCCATGTTCTTGCGTAAGTTGCACACACGTCTCCTTGTACGGAAGTATGTTCGAGGGATCAGTTCACAGCAGAAGGTGCAGGTAAAATTATTTTACCTCTCATTTATCTTAATGTTTATTTTCACACTTAATTTGCTGGCTGGAATCCATTTACAATTTACAGTTCAAATTTATTTTCAGCTGCAAATTAAAGCACTGACCAGAGACATATTCAAAGGCAGAAAAGAGAACTACCCTCAGAGCATATGCCAACCCTTCGCTGACACTAGGATAAGTAAGAGTTTATGGATTTTTTTTTTTTATATGCTGTTGTTGCTGTAAACCTTTTAATGTGTAAATGCAAAGATCAGGTTATACCTTATGAATTATAACACTTTGTTCATTCTTTGTCTATTCAGGTGAAAAAGACATAAACATCAAAGTCTTGCAGCAGATTTGTCCTGAGGGTATTAAGGTACATGAAACTAAGAGCAGATGTTTGGCATCAGTAAGTACTTTTATTCAGCAAGGATGCATTAATTTGATCAAAAGTGACAGAGAAAAAAAAGGGACATTTATAATATTACAAAAGATTTCCCTTTCAAATAAATGCTTCTTTTTTTCTCTTTCAACATTGATAATAAGAAATGTTTCTTGAACAGCAAATCAGCATATTGTAATGATTTCTGAAGGATCATGTGACACTGAAGACTGGAGTTATGGCTGCTGAAAATTCAGTTGACATCACATAAATAAAATACATTTTTTAAATATATTAAATTAAAAACAGTTATTTTCAATTGTATTAATTTGTATTTTCACAATATTACTGATTTTACTGTATTTTTTGGAGCAGATAAATGCTACAAATTGTATGATATTTGAGTTGTAAGAGATTTTTTTCCCCAATCCTGCAGGTTTATTAAGGGCTTCATGAACAGGAATCAGCCTGTCAGCATGGACAACTCTGAGTATCTGGCCTTTGTCAGACAGAGCTACCTCACTCGACTCAAAGACAATCTGCCAAAATCAGTATTGGACAAAACCACCTGGCTAACTCCTCCACCCATAATGCAAGAGGTAGTCCATACATTATTGGATCCTTTATCATTGAAACCATGCGAAGTTTTGTTTTATAGCCGAAATTAAAATGATTTTTCACTGTAATGATACTATATTTTGTAATAAATGATTTTATAGGCTTCCATGTTCTTGCGTAAGTTGCACACACGTCTCCTTGTACGGAAGTATGTTCGAGGGATCAGTTCACAGCAGAAGGTGCAGGTAAAATTATTTTACCTCTCATTTATCTTAATGTTTATTTTCACACTTAATTTGCTGGCTGGAATCCATTTACAATTTACAGTTCAAATTTATTTTCAGCTGCAAATTAAAGCACTGACCAGTGACATATTCAGAGGCAGAAAAGAGAACTACCCTCAGAGCATATGCCAACCCTTCGCTGACACTAGGATAAGTAAGAGTTTATGGATTTTTTTTTTTTATATGCTGTTGTTGCTGTAAACCTTTTAATGTGTAAATGCAAAGATCAGGTTATACCTTATGAATTATAACACTTTGTTCATTCTTTGTCTATTCAGGTGAAAAAGACATAAACATCAAAGTCTTGCAGCAGATTTGTCCTGAGGGTATTAAGGTACATGAAACTAAGAGCAGTTTAACTCCTTTAAACATTAAAGGCCTGCATAATATTTTAACTTGCATTAACCATATACGCCATAACTGCATTAAACATATGATGGTAAAATTGGCACTGAGATTATGTTGCTCTTCTAATGTTACTGGCAAACTGGCAAGTGTCATTTTATTTACTTGCCATTTTATTCACATATGGAAATTGCTAATTTTGGATCTTGAATGGATGTAAAGATGTTTTTTAAAGATGAAGTTCCTGCTGAAAGAATGCTTAGGAGAATTTCGGGGCTCGTTTAACTAAGAGTAGAGTAGATCTGCCTGAGCTTTATTTTTCAGTCAGACAGATGTTTATATCATTTGGCATGCATGGGAAACTGATGTGATATCTCCCTTTATACAGTACAGCGTTCCAGTGATTAAGTACGACAGGAATGGCTTTCGGCCACGTTTCAGACAGCTGATCTTCACTCAGGCCGCTGCTTATCTGGTGGAAGAGGCCAAAATCAAACAGAGGGTGAATTACAGCTCACTAAAAGGTGCCCAATGCCTGATTAATTAAAAGTCTATGATTGTGTGAAATTTGCCATCAATTTAGATTTCCACAGTTATTTTATGTAAATATATATTTTATATAGTATATGCACTTTAATATAAAAATAAGTACATGATCCGGTTTCATTAAAAAACATTTGTCAAAGGTGTAAACATGCCTCATGATATAGTAGTCTATTTGGTTTGGACTAGGTATTTTTTTCATAGTCTTAGATTTATATTTTACCTTTTATTATTATTTTTTTTACCTCTTGTAACACACCATTACTAAATTAGTCAAGTTGAATCCAGTTCCATATAAACCTTGTTTACATGAACAATATTTGCTTTTTTTTTTACAGGGGTGTCTGTCAGCAATTTAAGTGACAACTTTCTGATTCTCCATGTCAGCTGTGATGACACAAAGCAAAAAGTAGGTGGTGAACAAATATTTTTGACAGGGAGTTTCTGTATGAAATTACCGTCACATGGTAAATTGGAAAAACTTTTGTTCCCTTTCAGTCAGTCACGTTCGACGTTAAATCGACACTGACGTTAGGGGTCTCACTTGGGAGCCCTAATCACCTCTGAGCATTACGAGAAATGGCCAATGACTATTCGCGAGTGGAATTTGCATGCCAAGCCACTCCCTGTACATATGTGTATATAAAAATACATCCACTCATTCAGATTTTTGCTTTGGAGCCGATCGCTTCATGAGCAAGAGTTCACTTCGCTATCAACACATCAGGAAGCTTCTCTGCTGCATTCCCGAATGGCGCACTCAGCGGTGTTCCTCCCTTGGGCGCCTCAGCTAAAAGAGCAGTTTCCTGTAACAGCTTGCATATAACAGCTGTGTGTTTCTGGGTGCGGGAGTTTCCTTACCTCTGATGACAGACACGATCGCTATCTCACATGTCTGGGCCATAAGCATGCTGAGACAACTTTCGTTGATGGGTCTTGACTGCACTGCGAGTGCATGTCCATGGCTACGCTGAGGCTCTCATTTATAATGAGGCTTCCCTTGGAGACTACCCAGTCCGGTTCTTCTGTTTATAAAGACCATATGGCCACATTGGTTAGAGACAAGGGTGATCTGAGAATCACTGTCAGGCCAGCCCCCATGGACGTTCTGCTCCTCACAGCGTAGCACCGTTGAGCTCCCGGATGAAGGTGCTGGTCCATCTCGTGGTGGACCTAGGATCTCATTTGGGGCTCCTGAAGAAGATAAGATGTCGATCGCAGCATCAGAGGAGGGGCTTTTGTCTTCTGATGCTGAAGACTCTGCTGAGCAGCCCCCGGAAACAGCGGTGGCTCAGTTGGAATCAGAAGCTGAGTTGACGGCCTGCTCCTCCGGGCCACCAAGAGCATCGGGCTGGAGGTGAATTCACCTCGCTTGCACCGCCATTCCTCTGGCTAAGATACGTGCGCCTTATCTTCTTCCAGTAAATTCCCCGTCTGGTGAACCCTGGTCGAGTTCCTTCCAGCACCATGTGGCATTCAGACTGTTTCCGGGTCCAGTACTTGTGTTGTATGCCGTTAGTCACCCCTTGTACTGGACTAGGTGCCCATACATGAGATTCAACTTGGGTAATCCTGTATGTTCTTTCCATGGTACGGTTTCCCTTGGTAAACCCGTGTCTTTCCCTGGACAGTTCCACTATCAGTCCCTGTTATGTTCCTCTGAACTGGGGTCAGGTCAGTTAACTTATGGTGCTTTTCCACTGCGTGGTACGACTCGGCTCAGTACGGCTCAGTACGGCACGGCACGGTTCGGCACGGTTTGCGTTTCCACTGCAGTTCAGTACCGCTTTAGAGTGGGCGGGATTATTCACATGTCGTTATAGTCGCGCCGCCTCTACTACCACGACTCCTAAAAAAAACTTTTTCATTCCGCGTCGCCCCATCAAGCTCTAGCTGGATCCGCTCCTCTAACAGCCGTGGCTCAGTTGGAATCAGAAGCTGAGTTGACGGCCTGCTCCTCCGGGCCACCAAGAGCATCGGGCTGGAGGTGAATTCGCCTCGCTTGCACCGCCATTCCTCTGGCTAAGATACGTGCGCCTTATCTTTTTCCAGTAAATTCCCCGTCTGGTGAACCCTGGTCGAGTTCCTTCCAGCACCATGTGGCATTCAGACTGTTTCCGGGTCCAGTACTTGTGTTGTATGCCGTTAGTCACCCCTTGTACTGGACTAGGTGCCCATACATGAGATTCAACTTGGGTAATCCTGTATGTTCTTTCCATGGTACGGTTTCCCTTGGTAAACCCGTGTCTTTCCCTGGACAGTTCCACTATCAGTCCCTGTTATGTTCCTCTGAACTGGGGTCAGGTCAGTTAAGTACCCCGTGGAAAACCCCCCAAAAGTGAACCGTACCGAGCCGTACCGTGCCGTACCATGCAGTGGAAAAGCGCCATTAGACTGTGCTGCGATGAGTCTTGTGTTTTTCACATTCACATATTGTGAGAATGTCAGAACACCTTTTTTCGGCTTCCTTAGTAAGCCCTTTATAGTTAATTTGTTATCTGGCTTACAGGGCATTGGGCAAGCTACGGATTGAAGTGCATCTGCACCATCAGTTTGAGTAACACAGTTCTGGTGTTGGCTGTTTCCACAGGGACCCCTAACGTCAGTGTCGACGTAACGTCAAAAGTGACTGACTAAAAGGGAACATCTCGGTTACGTTATGTAACCCTCATTCCTTGAAGGAGAGAATGGAGACGTTACGTCCCTCATGCCACAACCCATGCCACAATTGCACTGAATGCCGGGTTGCTTCTCGGCTCCTCAGCACAAACCTGAATGAGTGGATGCATGCCGCCATCTTATATACACATATGTACGGGGAGTGGCTTGGCATGCAAATTCCACTCGCCAATAGTCATTGGCCATTTCTCGTAATGCTCAGAGGTGATTGTGGCTCCCAAGTGAGACCCCTTACCTCAGTGTCGATATAACGTCTCCATTACCTCCTTCAGGGAACGAGGGTTGCATGATGTAACCGAGACGTTTACGTACATCAAAACAAAGAAAAAATGCTTGTTCAACATGTATGAAGTTTTCTGTGGAACTCTATTTGAACAACCTGTCACTGATATATATATACATATATGATTGTTAAATATTCTGTTTTAGGGGGACCTGGTCTTGCAGTGCAGCTATCTATTTGAGGCATTGACAAAAATCTGTGTGGTGACAAAAAACCACAGCCTCATCAAAGTTGTTCAAGGGAGGTGAGACATATTTCAATCTGAACTGCCTTGGATACTCAGTCCTGCTCACATAGATAGATTGTTTATTTTATTTAACAAGAATGCATTATACATACACTGAATTGTTGTGATTTTGTAGTGTGAGGTTTGACATCCAGCCTGGCAAAGAGGGCTTTGTTGATTTTAAGAGCAGCAGTGAAGCCATGGTCTACAGAGCCAAGAATGGACACTTGATGGTGGTGGGTCCACATAATGCAATGCATACAACTAAATGAATACACTGGAAAAATAAACTATATTTAAAGTGTAACCTCTGTATATGACCATTAGTAATATGCAGGGGTTAAATTGGGCCGGGGCTGTCTGTGGCTGAGCAAATATGGCAAATATTCTGCTTGACAAAATGTATCTGCACATGTTTTTAAGTCTTTAGTGTTTTTAAGTTTAAACATTCACGTTTTTTTTTTTAAACCATTCAAGCGCAATAAGCAGCAAAAGAGTACTCAGTTCAGTACTCGCACACTTTCTGAGAGACGGTATACTGGTATATTCGGACGGTATATTCTCAGACAGAGCAAGTACAGAATTGAGTTCTTTTTTGCGGCTTATTGTGTAAATGTTCTGATGCATACAAAATTGTCAAAATGCCTTGTCTTGGTGAGTGTTCACGTAAACACAGTCAGTTAAATCTTCAGTGAACGTAAACAACTGAGAAAGAAAAGCATGTGTAATGTATATTAGATCCGAGCAGTCGGTCTTAAAGAGACAGCAGTCTATTAAACTGATTGCTGTCTGTGTCATTAATGTTAATCAAACAACAAAAGACAGAAAATCACTCACTGCTCTTGACTGACTTTTGTAACTTTAACTGTAAGGTTTCATCTGTATTTTTTTATACAGTGAAGACTATCCAGTGTTATTTTACATTTGATTACTTAATTCAAATTCTGTGGTATTTCTGTACCTGAATATTACCGTTAGACATACCTGAAAACTTAAAGCATTGATTTTATTGTCATCAGATATATCTTTGCACACTGCCAGTATCTAGAATGATTTTGACCAACATTTTAGTGTTCATAGCAGAAGGCTCTCTTAACTTCTTATATTTTACAGTTTGTCCCTTGTTAGGATTTTGTAGGCTTTGCATACACATATGCACCCCTTGAAAGCCTTTAACCACGGAGCCCCCAACATAACAAATCCCAACATAACCCCTGCAATATGTAATTAATTATATACCACTGTTATATGTATTACTATCAAAATTATATTGATATTGAACTTTCAACTATTTACATTAATAATTTTGAAGCCATTTAAATTTTTATTTTGCAGGAATCTGCACGGACAAAATCTCGATGATGAAGTTTTACCTCACAAACCTTCTCTACAATGGCCCAATTAAAGCATTTCAGTCAAGTTTTATTAAACACCATAACTTGCCCTAAAAGAACAGAACAGTGTTTTCCAATGGCCTCCCTAATCAAACTCTCCTAATTCAACTCATCAGCTCATCGGTAGAGACTCTAAGAGCTGAAATAAGTGGTCAAGATTAGGGTGGCAAAATGTGTACTTTTGGGGAACTCCGTAACCAGGGTTGGGAAATACTGCTATAGGATATGAAGTGTGAATTCAAGGGACAAATCATGAAATATCACTGCAATTTAATTACCAAGAGGAAAGGAAAACAAGTCCAACTGGAGTATTAAAGTAGTATAATATTATATAATATTAGTAGTATAATATTTTTATAACATTGTATAATATAAAATTTAAATTCTGTATTTTAGTTGTATACTGTACATTGTCTTTGAGGTGTATTTTATAAGCCATGTTTTGTTATAAATATCCAACATGTCATGAAAATGATTTGTCTTTAATCTTGCTAATTGTGCAAATTTCTGATTGACAGAATGTAGAAAATAGGTTGCTTCAAAACACATTTTTTTAAATACAAAAGTACTTGTTAATCCTCGTAAATCTTAAACGGTAACTGTTCAGCAAAAACTTGCGTGTTCATCAGTTACTCAGTTATGTCAATTTTGTTGGTGCATTTTGTTCGGTCTCACATAGGCCTACTGCCAAATCCTGAAAACATACTGCATCTTTTGCTTAGTGCAGACAAACATACTGAAGATGGCTATATATATGCCCAGAACACATGAGCAAAACAGTGCATGTAGATATACACAACATGTGTATACACATTCAAATATAAAAACCATTTGATATAAGACACTATAAATCTGTATATAGCTCTAATAATCATCATAATCCCTTCTACGTTCCATTGTTGCCCTATATAATATACATCTAGTCTAGTCCATTCAAATGTGTGTAGCTATTGTGGTGTTAAAATACAGCAAATATTAGCATCTGTATAATGTTTAACTTAATGTAACCAAGATAATGATTATGCAGTCTACTTTTTTTTATTTTATTTGTGATGTATCTGTATTTTTCTCCTGCAAATTCAGTTCAGCCATTGTATCATGACTGCAGTGGTAGGCTAATCAGAAGGAAATAAAGAGATTCGTGATTGAGTAGTATTTTGTGGACATATAACATGATTTCCTGATAATTCTTATAAAAGCTTAAAAAATAAAATAAACGAATATATGATGATTCGTACATATTTACAATTTTCTTGAACTTAGTTTGTATTTAATTAAACGGTAACTTTGTTGCCACCTCGTGGTGAATGAATGGACGACGCTTTTAATAAGGGAGTTGGATTTTGATGCGCGACCGATTTAATCATTAAACTATTCAACTTTTTTGGACAAACGTCAGCCTCTATTTAATGCGCAATGTTTTTTTCAGGTTTATTTCGAGAGCGTGATGATGACCACCGACACTAGTACTGACTCTGCAAGTCAGTAGCCCCTCACTGCAGCAGAACACAAGATCCAGGGGGCGTGGTTGGATCCACATCTAGGGGTTGGAGATGGGCAGGTTTAGGGGTGGAGATGGGTGGGTTTAGGGATCAGGGGTTGGAGGCGGGTAGGTTTAGGTATATGTAAGGTGGGAGGAGTTGGATCGGATTCCAACCACGCCCCCTGAATCTAGTGTTCTGCAGTGAAAGTGGCGCTCGGGATCGTATCAAAGTACTGATTGGCTGATCCCCGTGTCAATCATTACTTCCCGGCATGACGTAGAAAGACTTCCTCTTTGCTTCTTCCATCGACTGTTGTTCTTAAAATGGCGCCGTTGGACCTAGATAAGTATGTGGAAATTGCGAGACAGTGCAAATACCTTCCAGAGAACGACTTAAAGGTGACTGTTATCAGTAATTATATTTTTCTCTCAGAATATTAAACATAGTAGCTGTTGATTTATTTTTAAAGTCATGCGGTAATGGCTGGTAAAGTACCGTAGCAGTCAGTGTGTTGCAATGCAGTCGTTAGCGCTGCATATGAATCCATTCAGTGTGTTCCGGGATTTATTTTATACGTGCTAGCAGAAATAACAGGATATACGACCAAAGAAAGCAGTCAGTCCTAATAAAGGTGTGTAACAGTTTATTTCTTGTGGATCCCCGGGGTGGCTAACTTATGTTGTTGCTATCAAGCGCACTAATTTGAAACGCCCATCTACTTTCCATCGTCAACCCTTTATTAAGTCTCATTTTATGATATTTGCTTATTAGCAGTTTTTAGCCCATTCTCTTGTCTTTAAATAGAGCTCCTGTACGTAAACAACTAGGCTTCTGAATTAGTCCATAATGCAGTTCAAGACTGTATCATCCAAGCCACTAATGTGTGATGTTAAAAATGTGAATTAAATTAATTCTTTATGAATTCATATGACTTTAGATGCAGTGATCTGCTGCTGCTGTCATGATCAGTGATGCCATTTCCTTTACAAGCTTGATCAAACCTGCTGTCTTCTCTTCTATTGCTTTGACAGAGATTGTGTGACTATGTATGTGACCTGCTGCTTGAAGAATCAAATGTACAGCCAGTATCCACTCCAGTCACTGTATGTGGGGATATTCACGGACAGGTGTGAGCAGGCCCTATGAATGTGTTTCTGTTGTGCACAGATGATGTGACAATGTCCTTGTTCTGTTAACAAAATGCATATTGACCTAAACCTTTTCTTTATCTCTAGTTTTATGACCTATGTGAACTCTTCAGAACTGGGGGCCAAGTACCAGACACAAATTACATTTTCATGGTATTGTATCCATAAAGATAATTGTACATAATAAATATTGTTTTGTAGTTCATATTTGGTGACTCATGGGAAACAATGTTTTCCCCCAAGCTTATACTGAAGAGACATTGGTATGTTTTCTTTTCTTCTAGGGTGACTTTGTAGACCGAGGATACTACAGCTTAGAAACGTTCACATATTTGCTAGCACTTAAAGCAAAGTGGCCTGACCGCATCACACTGTTGCGTGGCAATCACGAGAGCAGGCAGATCACACAAGTCTATGGCTTTTATGGTGAGACTGCAGAAATCATAATATACTTATCGTACTTCATATAATAACATGCTTATTGTATTTTGTTGTGCATTTTTGATTTTCATTTCCATTCTTTCCTTCCATTTATAGATGAGTGCCAAACGAAATATGGAAATGCTAATGCCTGGCGATACTGTACTAAAGTATTTGACATGCTGACTGTTGCTGCTGTAAGTATTGTCTTTAGAATACAATTTATATGTATTTTTAATATTATAATAATAATAAATGGTGGTAATGTTTTATTATTGTTATCATTTATGTATACAAATAATACTATTCATATAATTATCCATTATGTCTATAATATAATATAATAGTGTACATATAGTACACAATCTAAATTCATTACTTCAGATATGTTTATTGTATATTTAATGCTTAAACTCTACACCGTCACTTTGATTAAAAATGACATTTTGCACTTTATAACTGTCCGAGAGAATGTTTATGGTTGTTATTTTTTTTCTTCTGCTGTACTTATTGTGATGTTTTGATTTCTCCCGTAGTTGATAGATGAGCAAATCCTTTGTGTACATGGTGGCCTTTCACCTGACATCAAAACTCTGGACCAGATACGCACCATTGAACGCAACCAGGAAATCCCTCACAAGGGAGCATTTTGTGATCTTGTCTGGTCCGATCCAGAGGATGTGGACACCTGGGCAATCAGCCCAAGGGGTGCTGGGTGGCTGTTTGGTGCTAAGGTTACCAATGAGGTAAGAGCATTCTCTCCATGTACAGTCAGTTTAGTCCGATGGAAAGTGTGTAAACAACACTTGAGACATTTCTGTAATTACAAGTGGAAAACTGCATATTGTCACTTACTGTCTGTGTTGAAATTTAGGTGTAGTTGTTGGCATCCTCATATACTTTACTAGTGTAGTGAAGTTTCACAAAAATATCTCCCAGTAAATTGAGAACTAGAAATATAATAATTTCAAATCAGGTAAAAACTATGACTAAAGTAACTGTATTTAGTTTTGTGGCCTCTGTATTTTCTTGGATTAATTGAATTTTAATGAAACGCGCTGTGAGCTGAATATTAGTACAATGAAATAAGCAATTAATGAAAATTATTTAATTCAATGTATTGGCTGTTTGATAAAAGTGTGACATACTAGTAAAAGTAAAAACTTTCAGTAAATGTTTCTGGTTTTGCAAAACATGATTTTTTTTTTTTCTCTTTTTTTTCATTAAAGTTTGTTCACATCAACAACTTGAAGTTGATTTGCCGTGCACATCAGTTGGTTCACGAGGGCTACAAATTCATGTTTGACGAGAAGCTGGTGACCGTCTGGTCGGCCCCAAACTACTGCTACCGCTGCGGTAACATTGCCTCCATTATGGTCTTCAAAGATGTGAACACACGGGAGCCCAAGTTATTCCGGGCCGTTCCTGACTCTGAAAGGGTCATACCACCTAGAACGACAACACCCTACTTCCTCTGAGGTCTTCATTGTCACCTGCGTCCAGCCCTCTTCTTTTCATTGTTCTGTCAAGAGCTCTTTTATGGTCTTTAATTTCTCTGTTGCCTTTTTTTTTTTTAACTTAACAAATATTTTTTGTAAAGATCGAAGTGCTCTCCAGAATAACAACCGTATACTACGGTCAGGATTATGGACTCTTTTGATTGTTCAAGTTGGTCATTATTTGGTCAGTACAATCTTGTTAATGTGAGCATGTGACCGTAAATAAGTGGACATCCTCATGCTGTTCTAAAGCCACTCTTCTTACAGGGCTTTAAATGTAGATCTAACAGCCACTGACTATCTTATGACAAAAGTTTATGGCGTAACATCTCACCTGATCAGAACAATGTGGTGTTTGTGTTTTTCAGAGATCAGATCAGAAAGAGAGTCACTGACACAACTAGGTCCTGGTCAGTCTGCTCCTAATTTCTCCAAAACAAAGACGCTGTTATTTTTTGAAGCTTTCAAGTGTAGAAAAGGGTTGAGGCAATGACCAGACAACAGGACAAAGAAGGCTGTGATTATTTTGTACATTAATATAATTGTTTTGATTTAATCTTCTTTTTCTCTGATTTGTTGTATTTTATTATTGTAGAAGACGGCAGCCCATTTACCAATTAAATATTGAAAATAAACGCCTTTATTGTTAAGTTACATTTCTGGTGTTGTCTCCTAATCAATGAAAGCATGAAAATATCACTTTTTCTTTCCACACAAGACAGTTTTAAAGGCACTACAATAAGACACCGCAGAGCGGCGCACGTCCCTTTTAAATCCAACGGGTAGAT